TTTAAAGTACCAAGCTGGGGCAGGTGGGGGCAGCCATGGGGGGGGTCTGGGGGAATGGGGGTTTGGGAGGGCTGGCAGAGGTCCCCTCATGGTCCCCCCCACCCTCCCTCCTCTGCCTCTGGTACTTACCAGCTCGGAGTGGCTGCAGTTCCCTGCTGCAGTCACCGGGGACTGCCCAAATCATCAAAGCTCTTTGAATCTTTTCTGAAGATTCAGAGAGCTTTGCGTCAATTGGGACCTTTAAATTGGTCCTCTGATTTGATTTGGATTTGGAGATTCGGCCACCGAATGGGGCCAAATCTCCTCCGAATCGAAACAGCACCTGAAGCTTCACACAGCCCTACTCTGTAGTACTATAAAAGCTTGATCGCTTGCATCTGGGTGATTCACAGCCTGCTTAATTTGCAATGGGTTGCCAAATTAAGGAACCACCATTCAGCTATTTGCTGTAGCTTTTACTTCAATGGGTGCCAGTTTTGCCCATCTGCTAGAGCTCCTCAATGGCCCCATCTCTTGACTGGAGAAGTTATAAAAACTTCATTAAACAAATGCAGTCCCTCAGCTGTCCCCAGATGATTCACAAACTCTTGCCTTCATAGGGGAACCTAATGTACAGTATACAATCAATAAATCTAATAAATAAACAAATAAATATTGTATGCCAAAAATCACACCCACGTAATCAGACTTTCTTAAAAATACAGATAGTATATATGTTATTCTCCAGTAATATAGTGTCTCTCCTTCATAGTTCGTAGGGTCGGAAGGGACCTGAGCAGATCATCAAGTCCGACCACCTGCCATGGCAGGAAAGAGTACTGCGGTCAAATGACCCCAGCAAGGTGTTCATCCAACCTCCTTTTAAAGACCCCCAGGGTTGGAGCCAGCACCACTTCGCTTGGAAGTTGGCTCCAGATCCTAGCCGCCCTGACAGTGAAGTCGCGCCTTCTGATGTCTAGTCTGAGTCTACCCTCAGCTTGTGACTGTTATTTCTAGTCACTCCTGGTAGTGCTCAGGGGAACAGGGACTCCCCCAATGCCTGCTGGTCCCCTCTGACTAGTTTGTAGATGGCCACTAGATCCCCCCACAGCCTTCTCTCGTAGAGGCTGAACAGGTTCAGGTCCCGTAGCCTCTCCTCATAGGGCCTGCCCTGCTGCCCCCTGATCATGCAAGTGGCCCTCCTCTGGACCCTCTCTCCATGTTGTCCACATCTCTCTTGAAGTAGGGTGCCCAGAACTGGACACAGTACTCCAACTGCGGCCTGACCAGTGTTGTATAGAGGGGGAGGGTCATCTCCTTGGACCTGCTCAAGATGCATCTGTGGATGCATGGCAAAGTATGGTTGGCCTTCCTGACTGCATCCTCACACTGCCAGTCCATATTCATCTTGGCATCAATGATGACTCCAAGATCCTTTTCTGC